TGAGCAAATAGTGCCAAACAGAAGGGACAAATTTGAAAAATCTGATAGTTCATCCGACATTGCTTACTCTAGAACACCTGTTTTGGGAAAAGAATATCCAAGAAAAAGCAGTAGAAATTATGGAAGACCTTCATCAAGATCCTCTAGGAAACACCCATCATTTTTTAATGCTTCTGTAGATTCTAAAAATGATTCTCTGTCTGTTACAAAAGAATCACCTATCAGTGTTTATGATATGAAAAAGTCTCCTCACAGACTTGGCAGGAACATAGATTTATTCAATGTCTCAAGCTGGAGAAACAGTTTGGATATTGATGCAAATGAAGGTTTCACAGGAATCAAAAGTCTGCAGCATGTTCCACCTGTAACTGTCGTTAGTAAGCCTCTTCCAATCACCAATCTTACAGAATCTCCTTATAAATTCAGGCCTAGAAAACCTAACTTGGCTATCACTCAGTTAACAGAATCTCCTTACAAATTTAGGTCAAAACCAAGTGAGAACATTGGAAGGATGAGAATTCCCTCTGACAAAGAAAATGATTTATATGTGCACAGAAACAGTGGAGTTACTCATAAAGCTAGGAGGTCCCTGCCTACTAAACCCTTGTATCTCACCCAAGCATCCAATGACTACTCAGATAGTCAGATGAACTCGAGAAGAAAGTCTGACATTCCATCAGCACTCCCCTGCTATTTGTATTCCTCTGAAGGAGAAACCGAGGCCTCTAACAGGTTTACTCAGTCCAGAAGTCCAATAAAGGATGGGATGGGCCGACAAGTCCTCGGTGCCTTAGAAAACACCCCAGGATTCTCTCCTATTGTTGTTCCAGAGGAAATACACCGGGTAAAAAGCAGTGATGTATCGGTGAAGGTGGTCAAACCGGTTGTAAGCACTCCTCTTTCTGACCACACCCTAAAGGGAAGCTTCCACCAACTCCACACTCCTGAGGAGTATTGTTCTACTGTGGAAGTTTAGACTGGTATGATTACTGTTCAACTGAACTCTTCAGTCACAACATTGTACATGTATAAGCAATATTTTTTTCCACCTTCATTGTCACAAACTGTTTTATATATGAAATGGCATTATCAGCAACTTAAAAGAAAAAGTTAAAAAATACTTTCAGATAATAATTTCAGAATAAGATATTACAGCAACGTGGTTTTAGAAGTATTCTGTCTGTTAACCATTATGTTATATAATAATCATTCATTCAACCTGGGTCACATTTTTCACTTTTATATGTAAAAAGTGTTTTTCTAAACATAAATGAAATTTCCTTATTCTTAACAATTATACAATCAAAATTGAAAGGAATATGTCCCTTTATTGTTTTCTTAAATGTTATGATTGAATCTTTGTATAGCATCTATTAGATGTACAATTGATTTAGAACCATGAATGTGATTGATTCTTTAACTGAGTCAACTTATTGTCTACTACGACATTGAGGTTGCATCTCAAGTCAACTCAACAAATGCTCAAAAGACACCAAGATTTTTGGCAATATTGTGAGCTTTTGAAATATCTTTGAAACTGATTTCTTATTTTTTCATAATTTATTCCAAACCCCCAGTAAATTATATATTAATTTCATGCCTGGTTTTCTTTTTAAAGTGACCTCTAAAAATTTAAAAGCATAAGCATATGTTATTGATTACCTTTCTTTGGACTAGGGTTGGTTTTGATCATGTCATGATAACAGACAATCAGGCTACCTCTTATATTCAATACTCCACTCCAACGCTGATAATGCATATGTAGTAAATTCTAGTATATAATGAACAAGGCTGAATTGTACACTTGTCTTTCTTGTTTGAAATAATGGTGAGTTACAAAAACATATCAATATAGTCCGAGGAAATCTTAATGACATAAATTTGTAAATAGTTTTGAGATACAACTGTATTAAGTACATATTATGTTGTATGTCTGTTATACAATTTATTTAATATTATAGTAAGCATTTTCCTACAGCATTATTTCGTTGGTTGTGTAGTTAATTTTAACCTTTTTTTAATTCACAACATAGTGCTCATATCAAACATCTTGTCTTTCTTCTGCATCTTTTCTTTCTTTCTAATTTCCTTCTAGTAGTTTACATATAATTTTCAATTTGTATCAAATTGTATGTCATAAACACCACAGATTTACAAAAACACATGATAGTACATCATGGTGGCAATATATCAGGTCTAGAACACATGTAGTGATCTGTTATGACTTGAACATTACATTTTGAAAGTTTTTATCTTCTGCTCACTAATTACCACTTCACTTTAATTCCTTTCACATTCCACGATTCTGAAGTGTTGGAAGAGCTTAAATAGTTAACACATTGCATTTACTTGAAAGTGAATGCTGTATTGTGTGAAGTGAATTTCTTAACATTGTGAATGTAATGTGTATATTTTTGTACATTATATCTTTGTCTTTGTTTTCTGATCTGTATGTGTTTTGGGTCTTTCTTTTTTAGAAGGTAAGGTCAAGGCAGTCATAAAATTTTATAGGAAATAAAACTTGTTAAACAATCAAAATATCATGATAACCTATTCAAATTGGCATCATCTACAGAAGATGTGCTCACAAGGACTCTCGTAATGTTATTTCTCATAATTATGATATATCAAGTAGTACTTACTGATGATTATTAATTCTCAGCTTAAAGTCAAATGTTTTTCAGTAAAAAATTTAGCAGTCAATTTCAAATCATTCCAGCATTGTTAAGAACTGTTATACATACTTGAAGTTTATATCAATATTGAAAAAACATCAGTGTTACCTTTTTAGAGATATAATCCAATAGGTATAGAACAATAAATAGTATTTTGTAAACAAAATGATGTCATATCCTTAAGTTTCAAGCTGCCATATTCTATCCTGTGTTATATCACATGTAAATGATATTTTATATGATATTGTAGTACATTAGATAAGTAGCACACATACATATATAGATTTATTCTTTACTGGCCGCAGTTCCTCTAAGTTGGCTTAGATGTTAACAATGGCTTTCAATAAAATGTACAAAATTCAGAACATCCTGCATCAGATAAAATATCAGTTGTTCCGAGACAAGTCAAACAGGGATGCTTGGAATAGTAGTTGCATGTGCTACTCATAATGTAATGGTAACAGTTCTATTTTTTCACTGATATAAACTCTAATCAAACATTGAGCAACTGGAGCCAGACATGCAATAAATTTTGAATGTATGAGCATGAATGAATGATTGTGATACTAGTCCACCAGAAGATAGTGAGTGGTTGGATTTTTGTATGGATAAAGGTGTTTTGTGCGGACTTCTGGAGGCCTGTCTTGCAAATCTGTTCAGACTGTGTGTGATAGATTTTGTAAACTTATGAATATTGTGATATATAAGTAAATAGACCCCTTATAATTAATTACCGGTGGCTTGGTTCAATAACACATGTATAGATTTTTATTTAGTTATAACTTTAGTGAATGTAAAGTTAACTCTGTATCATATTTGAAAAGAAGTCTTCATTGCAGATGAAATCTGAGGAAATTTTGTTGGTCAAGCAAAATGTCCTGTCCAACAATAGACAATAGAAGTAACTTTTGAGTAATTACAGTTAAAGTCATCGTACTGAAATCAAAGGGCTAAGTTAACTACTAGTCTTCTCTGTATCCCAAGAATGCGTGACCACAAAAGTTAAGTCTCTGAATGCAATGCCGTACAATTCATACTATAGGACTGGTCTTGTAACTTTCTGGTTTCTCTTGGATAAAAACTAAAGGAATCATAAAGTAATTCAAAAGTCATCATCTGACTTTACTTATAAAGCAAAGGATCTTTAATTTTCTAAAAACCGATAATATCCTTGAGATTGGCAAGATTTTGTATGAAACTAACCCATGCCTAAAGCACAAATCTTCAGTTCGGCTACAAAAGATATTCTAAGGTGACAGAGAAGACCTGTATAAACAGAGCAAAACTATAGAATTTGAAAGATGGTAAAAGGATCAATGAAATGAAAGTTGAGGATGAGATAATGTTCCAAGTAAACTGCAAATCAATTGTAAATTTCTTTATTGGGTTGGGTTTTTATAATTAATATATATTTCTGACAACTGTGTTAATGTTAAATATCAAGTCTTGTAATTATATATAATAAAAGTTTTATATCTTCACAAATGGACTTGAGTTTTCTTCTCATCAACTTCACAGTGTATATCATGTACATAATTAACATTTGTTTGTAAAACTAATTCTCTTTACCAAAAATAGTACATTGTACCTTAGATGTGCTTTCACTAAATGTTTATAATTATTCACTCATACAACTGTGCAATTGATTGAGGAAAGGAATCATGCTTCAAAAGTTCATGTGTAAATTATTTCTGTTTTGAATATTGCACTATCCTGGCAGAGGGTCCTGCTATCAAACATCCTTTATCAGTCTCACTTCGGGAGACTTTGATTGTGATATGCTGATTTCTGGCAGCAAGCTTGCAGTTAACAGGTTACATTTAAGTATGGCTCTCTGTCTATCTCTCCAAATCTGTGCACTCCCCCCCCCCCCCACCCATACTGCAGACTCACAAATTGACAGCACACTATCACAATCACATTGCTGTGCCGCATTGCAATCAATAAATGGCAAGGCCATGTCAATGAGAATCAAGTTTACTACTTGCTTACAGAACTCACTGTATACTGTAAATATTCATATCTTAGCAGTAATCTTATTTAAACTCCTTTTACTCCGAGGATATCATCTGTGCTAAAATATGATGGTGCTAAATGTAGTATCTGTATGTTAACAGTCATTATTTTGGAGATATGAATTCATCCTTGAACTAACTTACCAAAAGTTGATAATTATAATCTGTTAAAATCTGATTACACCAAATTAAGTCAATTTACAGGAACTTTCGTATGGACTGCAGATATCAATGTTCATGTTCTATGTAAATCCAAAGATTGGCTGTGATCACATGTTCTGTTGTAATAAATGATGACTAACACACAGTGTAGGTGTAATGGTTTACTGATACCAGTAAGACATCTGTACATAACAAGGAAGTACTTGTGGTATATAATAACCTTATATGTAAACAGGTACCACATCCCAACATATCACAATAAACAATACATGTGATACATTTACGTATCATTCAAGAAGGTTTAAATAATAAAATCAACAGAACCAAAAAAAAGCATTTTAAAATTAAGCACTGGGAAAAGAACAAAATAAACAAGGAATAACTGGTAATGAGTAAATTAAAAATACATTTACTTATATAGTGTTATATATATGAATACTACATATAGATGTCATTTAACACAAACCATGCTCTTCCCTATAGGTACAATTACTTTGTTCCTTACTGTGATGAAAAAAAAAAAAATGAAGCACTCCAATTATTTCTTAAATGCCTCTAAATCTATTATGTTGTCAAATTTCTATTTATATCCTTATAAATCACCCTTCCAGCATAACTTTCAAGTTATTAACACTGATTCAAAAACATGTTCTTGACAGCTTAGTTTCATGTCAATGGAAGTGTAACTTCTACCTATTTAGATTTGTAATAGCAATAATTCAGAATTTAGTAGGAAACTGCAGGTTCCGTATTTCAACAAAAAACAATCTATATCACAGCAGCCCAAAAAGCGATCATCAGTAAACTTTAACAATAATGATAGCTGTGAAGGGCATGTATGGTATGCACCTGAAGACCACCAAAGATTGACCAAAGCTAGTGTAGATTATCCTGTATGACTATGATACAAAAATGTACTACCCTCTACCTCATTTGTATCTACCACATAAGATACTTACTTAGTCATCAATGACTCAAATTTGACTAATAGTTCAACAGAAATAATCAGAAGAAATTATTTGATAAAACTTGTAAACATGACAAAAATATCCCTCAGTGTCTTATATACCTCTTTTCGGAAAGTGCCCTCCATCATGAACTTTGCTATGTTGGTGTAGGCCTCACTTTAGTAGTGACTGGCATCACAAATAAGAACCTTTCACAATACATCACGTTTCATTCATGAACAACCATATTCAACCACTATTTCAGTATTTCAATGCTTTCAATAAATCTAACAGAATAGCACTATGATCAACTGGTGTAGATCAGTAAGTGTCACAGTGGACAAATGTGAAAATAGGGTTCCCTGAAGTCATGTACAGTGACTTGAAAATCCTGCTGACAAATTTTGATTGGAGCTATAATGTGTCATTAACTTTGAATTCACAAAGATAACATCTCTTTCAAACATTTTTTGAACAGCACTAACTCTTTGAACAAGTGATTGGTCAACAACACTTTAAACACACATTTGCAAGCAAACATTTGTCATCAGAACCATGTTCAAATCTTCATTAAAAAAGAAAGGATATTCACAGCCAACTGATGTTATAGCATTAATTAATCCCTCCATCACTCAGTGATATAACAAAACATATTAATACAAGTGAGAGGATAATTGGCATAACCAAGAACAGTACAATATATTGAATAATTAAGTATAAAATTGGTAATAATTTATTGTGTGATGAAGATAATTATTTTCTAAGTACCCTCCAACATAAATGCTTTATCATCACTTCCTCAAAACAAAATAAACACAAATCTGTCCAAGGACATTTCTACAGCTGATGGCAAAATGAAACCACTAGCTGATATGCATTAGTGATGTATTTAGAAATCATAAGAATTCTGTACATCACTTCAAAATACAAAGATTTCAGAGATGCTAAGTTCCACTGTTAATACCAGATTACCAGAAATACAAACATTTAATGTGTTTTTATCGAAGCTGATCCCTCTAGTGTCACATCTGTACATTTAGATCCTAACAAATCACTAAGAACTACTAAAAGTTCTTACAAATATCTATAAATTCAAAGTACAGGAAGTCTACAAAAATCGACATTTGATGTCCTTGCCGAAGATGTTTGGTCCGTGTACTGCTAAAAGTACTCCTAAATACTAACATGGTAAAATGCTGGCATCAATTTCACACTGTTAGAACACTATATGTATGGTGTCTTTATCCCATGTATATACTTTTCAAGTTTATGCATAATCTACCAAATTTGTCCTTCATGTACGTATTTGTTGTCATCCAAATTATCTCCATCATTCCCAACTCTCCCAGTCATCGCCCTGCAAAAACCAAAAGCACTGAAGATAGATGCATGCTATATTTGTTTGACTCAAACATAAGTTTTTTTTAAATATTTGGAGTAGGAACTGTCATTTTCCAATCCAAAAGATGAACCAATGCTTAAAGAGGTTTTTTGGCTGTTTGAATGACATTACAGCACATTCTTATTAGTACTGGTTAAAAAAAGAATAAAAGTTTACCCCAAAATTAAAGTCACAACAGTAACACGAGGCCAATAGCCACATAGCTGGTGGGCTATTGGTGAGAAACAATACCACCACATACAAGCGACCTATCTGGTAATTAATGCTCTACACATACAGCAAGACACATGCAGATATAATGTATTTTAAGAAATGTTTAATCAACTTTATGAATTATTCAAACAACCATTAATATAAATAAATATATATATTTTTTCATTTCAACATCTTATTACAATTTAAAGTCATGTCAATGGTCAATACACGGGTCACAAGTCATAGGTCATTGAAGTCATCAATATCATATACTTTTCAATTGTGCATCTAATTACAATGCAAAGTAATTACACAAAATCTCGATATATTGGTTACTTAAAGTCACATGCCAATCAAGTCATCAATATCAATCAATGTATGGTATTACTGATATTGATTGGTAAGGTTTAAATTTCATTGCCATATTTCTTCCAGTTAAGCTGAGAATACACAACAGTGACTTATTAGTATCTGGTCTAATAGTTAAAATTCTAGGTATTGAAAAGTTACAAATAGTGATAAATTTTCTCTTTTGTGGCCTCTCTCAGCAGATTCTGACAGTGAGTCTTATATATATATACACACAGAACAGTTTCAATTGTACAATTGTTATTGACAGAATTCTCCTTTGTATGGCCCTTGACAGCAAATCCTACGCTGTAGCTAGAGAACAGTTTTAGCACTTGTGTGTGCATGTGTGTGTGTATATATATATATATATATTATATACAAATATGCTGATAAAGACAGATTCCAAAATAATTAAAAATAAATGGTTTATCAATCAACCCTTAAAAACAATAGGTATCTGTTTTCTCTCTTTGGGAATAGTTTTGCCAAAGATAAACCCAAAGATTTCTCTCATTTTTCAGTTTTAATGTCCTCAAGACCTTTCATCTGGCATGATAGCATAAGCTAGTGGGTTTTGTCCACCAGCTAAAAAAGTTAAAATCCCCCTGATAGCACCATATTGTACTCAATAGTTATAAATCTTACCACATCACCGGTTAGCTTAGTATAATCTGTCGCTGATAAGTTAAGTTTTTTGGCAATTTCATCAGCAGCCTTCATATCTTCTTCTGTAAGTTCAACATCAAAGTCTTGTTCCCAGTCATCATCAGTACTAACAGCATCTGAAAGAGTTGAATATGTAACATACATCAGCACAATTCAATAAAGCAGAGATTCAACATATTTTCTTTGTTTTAAATATACTATTATAAACTTTACGTATAAAGAGAGAACATGGCTGCAAGCAAATTAAAATTCTCAATTAAACTGTGCATATCTTTGAATAATTGATGGGGAAACTTACAATGTTAATGCTGATGACACCACTTATTCTTCATGTCAGTGTGAGGGGTCTTAATTAAAGAAAAATAATGCTGATTGCCTTGCCCTGGACAGTACTAGCCTTCTAATTGTCTTGGACCATACTAGCCTTTCTTCTGACTGTTTTTGACTGTACTAGAATTTCTCTTACTGTATTGGACTGTACCAGAATTTCAATATAAATGTCTTCTGTCAGTAACTTTATTTCAATAAGGAAATCTCTGATCATGTTAAATTATGTTTCATGCTTAACTTTAGTTTGAAGAATTTGAACAGCTTGCATTAGATAAATAATACAAAGTTTTCTGTGCAGCTTGAGAAGGCTAGGTTGACATGGACAATGGTCAGTGCTTTCAAAGGTTCAAGATTTTAAAAAAATTATGTTGCATTCTGCATTACCTATATGGAGATATCATAGTTTTAAGCAATGTAAAAATCATGCTAAATAAATACACAGATGGATTGTACAATAAAAGCTAGAACGTAGAATCCTGGTTTTAAATTAAACTGGAGAAATTACATTTACCATAACTTATCTTTATATTTATTTGACTTTAAAAAGTAAGAGATAGGTAGCACCTAATAATCCATTTTTCATTAACCTCTTATTAAGAACAGACCTCAACTTTTCTTTCTGACTGCTTTCCAACTGTTGACAGTGTTAGGAGGTTACACTCACCTTTCTTTCCCTCAGATTCTGTTGAGGGCGAGTCACGATCAGGGTTCACCACTACTACGTCCCCTTTCTCCTTTACACATATCTCCAGGGAGGCCCGATCACCATGTGTAATATTTTCACTTCCATTTACATCAGTAATTGTTTTATTTTCTTCCACAAGTTCTGTTGGTATTTGCTCAATTTCTGATTTTAAGTCTGATTCAACTTTCAAGATCTGTTCTGATTTTAAATCTGCTTCTGTTCCCTTTTCAACCATGGAGTCTTTATCACATTTTTCTTCCTTCTGTATGGAACGTGTTTCAACTTCTTTGTTTTCTGTGGGTATTTTTGTTTCATTATTTAGAGTGGGTATATTTTGTAAAGATGGATTAGTGATTACTGAAGGCGTTGTCTGTTCTTCTGAAGTCTCTGTTCTTGTACATAGTTCTGGCTGGGTTTTCTGTTGTTTCTCAGGCAAAGTGTCAGGTGTTGGAGCTAGTCGTTCCTTAGTGGAAGCATTATCTGGGGAATGTACACCCTTAATCTTTTCTTTATTATCCCGTACATCTTCATCATCACTGTCTGCAACACAAATAATTAGCTGTTATATGACATCATATAAAGTTTGTGTTGTCATAGAAGATTTTTTTTAACAATATCTTTAGTGTGTTATCATTTTTATGACAATATATGATCATGTTTAAATCTGGTTTAGAAGTAATTTTGTCGAAATTATTCACTTTAACAACATATACTTGTTGTCAAAGATACTCTTCCTTGCAAATTTCAAATATACAGACATTTATTTACTGTACATATTATAATGATAAGAAAGATGCGTTGGATTGTTCATTAGAATTAAGCCTAGACTAAGCTACATACCCAGGTGCCCATTACAAAGCACTTCAAACAAGTTGGAACATACAGTAAATTGTATATTTATTTTTATTTCTTCAAATAATACTTTTTTTATAATCCTGTATGGAAATGTACCAACATCAGAGTTTTATAAGGTAGGCATGATCTTCATTTTGTATCTTATTGTAAAGTATAAGGCAGCACCATACAACGGAACAAACGGGTCAAGACAAATCAGACAGATTATATATTTCATTCTAACAACTGCGCAAGAACTCAAAAGTGAATATCCCTGTGACAATAATAATTTATTTAACAAACTGGCTGACTTATAGTGAACAGTCTGTTGAAGATTTTTTTTTTAAAGACTGCAGTCTTTAAAAGCTCTTATGAAAACAAGAGTAAGGTGTCTGACTGATAGAGTATCTTACCATCCCAACTAATAGAATCTTCTTTAACTTCTGCCCGCTCTGCTCGCTTCATCAAAGCCAGTTTACGTGCCTCGTCCAGGTGAAGCTGGTTCACTTTATAGAAATATCTCTGCCAAAAGTCTGCATGTGAGATTTCTGATGGCACCTGGTATGATGAGAAAATCACGGTTATTTTCAAAGTCTCTAACACCCACATTGTAGGGAAGGGGTCCTTTTAATTAGATTACCAAGTTAACTTGACTGAAAACTGACAAGAGATATCTTTGTGAAATGTGTGTACATGTCCCAAATCCACAGTTCAAAACCTGTCAATTTTGCTTTCTTGAATATATTCATGACAACACACCAATGAAACAAGATGGAAAACCAACAAATTATCTTTGCTACATTTTCAATGTAAAATTTCTAAATTTAAGAATTAATGTTTTAATTTCATATAAAACATCCTTTTCCTATCACTATCCGTGAGCGTTTGACTGAACCTGCAAAACTTTGGAACAGAAACCTTTGATCAAGAAAATAAGTCAAACACATGTCAAAATATTTTTAAAAAAGAAGAGGATTTATTCTCGCAGCATTGTTGTTTGTAATTGATATCAATCAATACATTACAGACACTCCTAAAACTTCTTAAAAATAAAACAACCCTTTGACCAAGAAAACCTGAAGTGCAAAACATGACAAACTTGTAATCTAATTTTCCATTTCACCAGCAGCAAAACAAGCAATGGATAAAAGTGATTTATTACAGAGTCCTGGGGTCAAATTAGTACATGCATATATTTAATGAGATATATCAAGTGTCAATGAAAAAAATTATTTTTAAAAAATAAACAATGTGAAACTTCAGTCACACAAAAATATCTTGTTTTACAGTAATTTGGTCACCAGGTCTTATTGCAGAATAAATACAGTAATAATATGGCTACAAAAACATATTAAAGGAATATCGAACCAAACCATCTTAAGTAGTGTAGCACTGAATTTTTTTTTCAATCAATTCATTTAGACCAGACAACAATGATAAATTCTGTGATTTTTAACATTATACATTATAATTACCAGCTTTGTATACAATGCTCGGACTTCAACTTTAGACACCAAGAGTTCAGATACATCTCCTTTCACCTCGTCCATGCTGAAATTTTTTACCCATTCCTTGAACACTTCTGGGTCCCCAGAGGGTTCGTTGCAGTATGTACCAGGATCAACTTGTACAGCATGAAGGCGTGCCTATTAATGAACATACTTCTTAAAGCCTCAATGACAATTGAATTTACTTCATCCTCATATGATTTTGAAGATTCTCATACATAAAAGAGTCAAATATATTGTTGCACAACACAGTTTCTGAACTTTGTATGCAGATAAAAAGAGAAATATGACAATGGCTTTTGAAATGTGTGAGATATGTTAGTTCATAACCAAGTAACCAAGCAAATCCATGCAAATTTTATTAAAATATGTAAAAGTTCATTATAAATAAGTATGAAATTTATGTTTTACAGAGTCGGATAATGACTTAATTAACACACAACTTTCTTATCTTTGTGAGGTAAGGCTAATGTGTTTTGACAGTAATAGATATTTTTCCCATTCCTTACAGAAACATACAACATAATTAGCATGGTGTGGTAACTGCATGTAGGAACAGTAGTAATTACCTTGGCCCTGTCAAACATTGGATCAGTTGATGGTGCTGGTATTGGTTTATCATATTTGTCCTCTGCTTCTACTACCAGCGATTTTGTTAGGTCTTCCAGAAATGATGCAAATCCATAGCGTGGAGCACCTTCTTTTGCCTATCAAGGTATTGGAAGCACAAGGATATATCAATGAAATAACATTAAAATTGATAGAAACACGAATAAACATAACGACAGTATCAACCCCTGTCACAACTCCTGAATTAAAATAATATCTGTGCCTGACAACCTTATTGTATGATGACCAGAATTATAGGTGTTTTTCAGATAATGGAGATTTCAAGGGCAGCAATATGATCTCAGTTGGAAATACTCTATTTCCTTGTAGAAAAGGAAATTTGCATGTTTGTTTTCCATTCAAATGCTTTGCAGTTTTGTTTGTTTTGATCACCACAATTCTTATTTTGGGAATGTGACATGATTAGGATATATGGCCTAGATTTACATGACATGAGTTGTCAATGAAGCAATACATGTTTTCTACTATGAAGTCCCTGGTCTCATTCTGATTGCTGTTTTACAAAGTCCTTTGTGTAGTTCTAACCTTTTCTCATACTAAACATTAAAATTTTATTTCAGTAATTTTAAGAGAGATGTACAGTTTGCTTGACGGGTGAACATTTTTTTTTTCTTTCAGAGAAAGACTTCTAAATCATTTTACATTTACAATTTGTATCACATGAGTTATGCATAAAATTAATAAAACAATGTGTATCATATATACTAATCTTGTCCTTAAATGATCTACTGATCACTAGGCATGCACTCCTCTTACCAACACTGGCTTCTAGCAAAAAGTGTCATATACATAAACTGAATAATTTTTCTGTTTTATCAAAATACATAACTTATTCAGCTTTATATCAACGGAGTAGAGAACTGCTGCTGTTTTTTTGTATAATTTGTACCCGTATTTTCCATGTCAGGATACGATTGGTATATCTATCTAATAGAATATTACCTGCATTTCCTTCATTTTCTCTGTTGTTATTGCCATCACCTGGGAGGTGTCCTGCTGCATGGTACAGGTATAGTCAGCTAGGTCTTTCTTAACCATTGCAATGGCAGAGGCTGACTGCAAAAAAAAAAAAAAAAAAAAACAATCACATTTAATCTTCATAGATATGATAAAAACAATTTACAATAATTAATGTTTTTATTTTAAGACAAGACAAATGCAATGGACCACAATGTAGTTTAATCATTTGATTCAGATCATCTATTTCACGGTTTCTTTAACAATACTTTGCATGTACAGTATTTTTATACATTGTAGTAAGTAAAAAACAATGCAATGAAATTAAAAGTCAAAAGAAGGAATGATGTTGTTATATACATGTACCAGTATCACAACATTAGCGTTCACCTGGCTAAATACATTTGTGTACTAAATATTAATTCACCTGGCTATTATTTGTAACAATATTTGTAAAACTTGTTTCATTTGTAACTATTTATCAATTCACCTGGCTATAGGTATATTAGTAACTATCTATCAATTAAGTAAATACAGTCTAGTATACAGAATTTTACATTTTAGTTTTTTTTTTTTCAGTTTCAATTACTTCTATGCTTTACATTAGTGCAACATTACAAAAAAAGGAACAAGTTATTCACATTTCTGTTAATCCCTGATTTACAAGACACACACCAGTATAGTTTTTCCCCCTAAAATTAGATCTGTCATATGCACTGATGAAAAACAAGAAGTTTAGATTTTTCAGTGTTATAGACTTTGTAATGATGTTCATATACTTGTGAAAATTAAGTTCTATTAAAAAAAAGTTCCCATTGGAGAGCTAGACTCTTCAATATAAGGCTTACTGTTCTGGAATAAATTGAATTACTGTCAATTCTATAAACCTTCATGAATATGATGTTTTTCTCTACACTTCTGCTATACTCTAACAAAATAATAATGATCCATGCGAAAAGATTTATGAGGTTGACACACATTTTATTTAGTCCTTACATCTATTAGTTTATTTTGATTTAAAAGGACAATTAAGTCAAGTTTTATAATAATTTTTTCATGCCAAAAATCTTTCATATATAGTATACAGTAGTTCTGTACTCCTTATGAACTATGTATGTCCTTATATTAGCACAACATTATGCTCTTACCAGTTTTTTAATTAATCTAAATGAATTCTTAAATGTACAATCAATATTTTATATGCAAAAACAACATAACAGGTATGCGCCAACTTGTATTGAGAATATCAACAAAAGATAAGTTTCAACTCAAAGCAGAAGCAAGGAAAACGAATTACAAGGTCTCACACCAAACCAAGACAGTATATGGATGTGAAAAGAGCATAGAATCATTGTTGGACAAAAATATGAGAGATGGGAATTATTGTATGAGGGAAACCATAATCTTGAAAGATGTATATTACTATGTCATCCCTCTGTTCCTCCATCACACGGGATTATTTACAAGCATTTTTTATGCCAGAGAGTGTGTCATTTCATGCTATATGATAATTCTTCTTATATTTGGCACAGGCTTTCCCAAAATTTAAACTGGCAACACCCGACATTGGCTAGGTAGCAAATAACTTTTATGCACAATTTTTTTGTCTGGATATGTGTATTTTCGATTCTACTTAAATTAAAGAAACGTTGATCTACTAAATTGTCCCTTGAATTTGGATTTTGTTACGGAATCTGTTTTCTGAATTTTATGTTTCCTTACCAACAAATTCTTCACATGATTACTGAATGATTGTTGTATAGGCTAGCAACTCTATACCTCTTAATACTAGGTCTTTAATACTACCATCTTCTCAGGCTTTGCCCTTTTCATATTAGGAATATTCAATTAAAGGTCGTTGAAACGATTGTATGTAAATTCAATATCACTTGTTCGGTGAAAGTTGTCTGTAAGTATTCTTGAATTCTTATCATAGAACTGATGTTTTTTCATAATACCATATTGTCTCCTCCTTCCTCGGTCCAGGCAACAACAGATTTTCGTGGTGTTACTGAACTACTAGAAATACGCATACAATTTATAATCTTTAAAGTCATGTAATAATTCATATCGTATTATTCATTGAATGGTATGACAATAGACATGCACGCAAATATCTACGGCAACACAAATGCGAATGTCCAGTAAATCAATCCATGATGTCAATTCTGAACATGACGTAAGAAGGTACCTTTTCTTTGGCCGCCTGAAGCCAACTTCCCCACCAATTATCACCGTCGTCTTTTCTGTAAAATGCAAATAGGATACATAAATAAGCAGTGATAATAACATTACAGAAACACAATTTTGATCAATTCTACAATTTAATTTTATAAATTTCTGTTCTACTTTGTGTTTGACATCTTACCCGTCCGCCATTTTTTAATCTCTATGTAAATTGAGAAAAATCTTAACATTAATACTATCTTACCTATCAGTGGATATATATCTTAATATTGTATCTTTATCATAAAAACAATATACAAACTTAATTTATATCGGGTAATGCAAGTGTGTTGGGATTTAATGATTTTCTGTTTGTTATGAGTTTAAAGATTAACATTGGTACGCCGCTAGACGTCGCTTTTATATGTTTATCAACATCGACACGTGCCTCAAACGTCATTAACCACCCACTTGGCTAACCCATGGATGTGGGCCTTGGTCCTACCTCATCGTGTCACTAGGGGGAACAATTAAATTGCAAATTTAATATTTCGTTTGAAAAAGAGATCAAATGTAGCACGCCTCAAAAGTGAATATTGTATGAATGTCATCTGCATTAATTTAAGAGTATTTACTAAGTTGGCAGAGGACAGTAATATGATATAGCGCATTTACAAGCGCATGTTAGTCGAGTACGATTCCCTACAGAAAAGGGATTATAGCAAGGCAAAGTTGGGATGGGGCGGGGATCTGAAAAAATGTGGACAGTCATTATTATTATTATTATTAACATTGTGCATAATTCATTTACATAAAGTCCGCTCAATATATTTATTGGGCATTAGGTACAGCAGAGACGTATATAGGTCTCTGGGTACAGAAAGGAAACAGGAAGTGAGACGAGACAAATGGCGAAAAGGAAGATAAGAAAGAGATGTTCCGATTGCAATGGTTGTCCGCTAAGTGGTTTCAAAATCCTATATAGATTTTATGAAGGACAAAAACAGCAACAATAATATCAACTTTTGTTTGATACAAAAGATCAGCATTTCCCCAAAAGAAGAGCACCAAGATCAGGAATAAGTAATATATGTTGGCATATTAGGAAACTGAGAACCAAATGCCTATGCGGAATAAATAATTTTTCAGACCACTGCAGTTATGAGGGTGCGTGACATAGGCAACACTTTCATATTGAATGTAGAAGTGGATACACTATGTTTAATAGAATTATTAAATCCATTCCATTATTTCATTGCAGAGGGGATGAATTACTTTTTGAACACGTCTAATCTACATCTAGGTATTTGGTAGTTGTCTGGGATACGGAGTTCATGACTTCGGTCGTTTCTTCTTGCAGGAAGCAAATAATACAGGTAATTTGGAGATAATTTATCATGAATCTTGTAGAAAATGGAAAGTTTATATTTTCTCTCCTAGATTTTAGAGTTACCCTTCTGTTTCGAGATACAGAGCATCACAAGAGGCTACAGAGGAAAGGTCAGGTACTGCTCGAACAGCTTCTAATTGTACCCTTTCCACTCCATCAGAACACTCCACACACATGACGCATACTCCAGGGACGTTTCAGTATGACTAAATTTAACATTTAAGTTTTAACAGTGATGTAGCGAAATATTTAAGTATTGTTAAACTTGATCTCATAAACTTGTAGACTCTTGAGATGGTATTTGTAATGATTTTTTTTTCAACAGAAATGCTACTCCCGGCTTTTCAAACTCAAACACGGATAAACATGCACTGTCGTCCTCTAACTCCTATTGGCTCTCCTATAGGTTTATATTGATGCGCATGTCGACTTTCATCTGTATTTGCAACTTTGGAAGTGTTGTCATATTGTAGACACCAATTTATTATACATAAGCTATATCTGATTGGATACTTCTGCTAGTGTCAGTTGTGATTTCATTGGAGATCTGCAACGAATGAAAAAGAGACCCACAAAGAGTTGCGTCTTCATCATGTATCGGGAAAGTATAGGTGTGGCAGTATAAGATCAGATTCTTGTCCAATTCTGCAGGATGAAGCACCAATAACTCAAATTACAATCACCTATCCAATCATTATTTCCACGTCTAAAGATATAATATCCGATGACATTAAAACCCCAGAAAAGGTGTATCCATTTATTCAAAAGGAAGACTTCAGACAGAAAACTATGATGAACAGTTTAGATAAAACACTCCAAGATATATTTATCGACTTCAATCTGGCTGTTGGAAGTCATCCTCCACAGACTCTGATCTGATCTTAAGGTTTATATCAAATCTCAAACAGCTTATGGTTTATCGTTTATTTTCAGTATCATTTCTGTTGTTTGGTCTGGGTATGATGGCCACTCTACATTACATAAAACAGTTACAAATGACCGAAAATAAAATTATCTACTTTATTCAATACAGTAAGTATGTCTCTGAAGTTCAGAAAATTGGCATGCTCAACGTAGAAGAACAAGTTCTTTTAACATCTTTAATGTAGAAGGCCTTCTCTGTATATGCGTGATGTTTTCATAATTAATACTAACAGATATGGCACTGGATTTATTGATGAAATAGAAATAAATATATTTCTAACAGATTCAAGCGCGTGATCTGGTGCTTTAAACATGTTCATTATCTCAAAATTAATAACCTGTTACAAAACACCAAAGACAAATCATGGTTTACATCAGAACAGAGGCGTGAAATCAGAATCAGAAATAGGCCGCACAAAGAATTAATTTTTTTCTGTAGAAATTTAACCAACTTTAAAAAGCAACGAAATCTATAAATATAGATATTTGGACAAGAGAACATTTTGATGGAGTGATAGGCTTTGATTAGGTTCAAAGTTGAGAGATGTATCTAACATTATACCTCCCACACCCCTCTCTTTAATAGACCATATCTCTAATATCATTGCTGTAGACGACGAACCGGAAGCTAATATTTTACATGACTATATCGTGTCTTTGCTATAGATAGCACGCGTGTATCTCTACTACTGATCAATATGGGAACCCAAAGTTGAATCGATAACGTTTATTTCACCCAATCAGACGTTGTTCTTGTATCTCTAAATATCGGTAAAGCAGGTAGGCCTGATAAAATTTGTCAGCAAATGATTAATAACACTTCTCTTCAATCAATACCAAAATCCATTCATCACGTCTGATGTACTGTCATTGCAACAACACGACGTTATATGGACTTGGAAACAAAACTATTTTAAATCGATACAGAGAAATATAGTAACAAAATATTAACAAAGAAATAACTTACATGGAGATCCAATATCAAGTGTTCATACTCTTACAAGGATATTTATATTGATAACTAAAAAATTTCAAAATTATGACGGACGGACGAACGGACAAAGCGGCTACTACATGCTTTCCCTTCGTGGAACATGAAAAGTTATAGAATGACGACATAACGTTAATCTTAAATTATATTAGTATTTAATTCATAAAACACGCAATACAAACAATGATTAGTAAGTAAACTAAGTATATTTTTATGATAAAATGATTGAATTATTCTGATTTATGTTTAAAGCACCAACAAAAGTTGACACAAAAAATACCAGAAGCAAGAAAATGAAAACGAACAGCGAAATTATCTAGGTGCGTTCTGGCCTGATTAATTCATTTGAGAAAAAAGTACTTTGAGTCTAACAATCCTGAACAAATTAACAAAAATCTTAATTCCAAGTATACGTCAAACGATGTAGTTATCTTTTTGAAATATTGAGATGGGAGTTAGAGTTTTACAACTCAAATTACTGGATCAGAAATGTTAAAACATAAAGTCTGAAGTTGTAACTTGGCTGTATCAAGAACGGATATAATTGACAAAGTATATCTATATATTCATTGGTTCAGATTAACACAATTAATTGGACTTCTTGGGATCATATTTTAATGTGTTAGGTAACCAACAATTTTAAGGTCCTAAATATGATAATAAAATCCCTAGTAGATTAAAGGCCCAGCTACATGTTAGAAGTTAACTTCAAAGGTTTTCACAGTGTTATTTTAAGTATGATATATAAGAGAGGATTTCATAAAGTGAAAATAGATTTTGATTTTTTCCTTTTTTTGACGGATCAAAACACAATGTTTACTGACACAACAAAAAAGTTAGAGCCCTACAGACAAGCTGAGGCAAGATACTACCCGAAGCAATACCACAACAAAAATATTTTAAATGACATATAACTCGCACAGCAACACACATTTAGCGATACCAACAAAATAGCCTCATAACTGAAAACACGTTTAATTTATCTAAGTAGGCTTGATGATCAACCAAAAAGACTAGGTAGCCATCAATAGAGAGATGTCAAGTGACATTGAATGAGGCAAAAAAAAAAAAAAAAAAATTGTTATCAGCTTCATGTATCGGACGGCAGAACTTTGTATGACTCCTAAGATATGGAATACTGTTACTTATTTCATAAAACCTTAACTGTCCAAAGACGAACGGTTAAATACGTTGGTCAGTTCAATTCGAGAAAATTTTGACTCTAAATATTTGACTCCAAATTATTTGACTTATCGATGAAAGCTCCACCTTCGTTTCCCGTACGACTAAGGAGACTCCAAATCCAGAGAGTTTGTAAAGTATGGTTCTGTGAAACCCTTTATGTATAAGAAGGTCAAAAACCTTTCGGATACTTGCTTACTTTGGATATTGAAGTTTGCTTTTTGTGTGATATCAATTCAATATCAGCCTCGTGTGTAAGCCATATTGGTTAGTATATTACGAAATGAATTCAGTGCATGGAAATATGTTTTGAGTAACTTCAATATCTTACACCGTCATACTAGACTAATGATTTGTCAAGTCTTCGGTGTCCAGTCATGATTTTGCGCCATACGAATTTTCTTGATTTGTAATTCGTTTACACTGAATACTTCTCTCAAATCCTCGTCATTTAAGGTAAGGAACAGCCGTCCGTCCACCTTTTCCTCTTGGCATACTTTGGCAACGTTACTTAATCCACATGCGATCAGCCGATTGGATAATCCGGTTACGGAAAGAGAACCGAACGACGTATCTTTCTGATCAGCGTTACCTAGCGACAGTTGCGTGTAATTGTTACTCGGCGACTTGTTCATCATAAGATGTTTCTCAAGAGTATCATATTGTCTACCTTCCTTATCTGTCTGATTGTACTTCTTTATAGTCGCCTTTTTGATTGACGGATCGACTGGAATTTCGTAGTCGTCGTCGTCGTCGTCGTCGTCATGTTCTTCACTCTTTTTATCCATATTTGCTGCTGTTTTCTCCTTTTTCATTGCAGTTGCGACTTTCAATTTGAATTTTTGCAGCCTACCCTTTTGTTTGCTGAAGAATTCCATGGTTTTATATTTTAGAGAATGATCCGGACTTGAAGCAACTGCATTTTCTAAGTCTGCGGGTTCATCATAAATATTTTCGGACTCTGGCATTTCGTACACATCGTCGTTAATACTTTCACTGCTAAGCGTTGAAGACATTCTTTCCCTCTGAAACTTCAATAAGATTAACATAACTGTAGTTGAAAGTTAGTCAGAATCCGACAATACTGTTTATACTCTTACAACAAGTCATTTGTCTGTGGTCATGATAACATATGTGACTCTATTATACAAAGAACTGAAACAATTACACAGTAAATATTGGTATATATCTGAGGCAAACAAAGACAGACCTAAACATGTTAGTTGTAAGGGAACCTTCTATCACAGCAGCGAATTATGTCCGCATATCTTACAAAATTACCCAATTAGCAATCACAGCATCAGTAACCACACTAAAAATAAGATACTAAAGTTTACCGTAATGTTTCGACAGCAACGTTTGGTAATAATCACAGAGATTTAAACGAGAGCACTAAATGTTTACTTAGTGTTGGCAGAAATTTTTATTTTGAAAGCTCAATAGTTTGTAAGAACGTGTATTTTGGTAGCAATATTTATAAATACATAAACGTTTTGATAGAACCATTATCAGGCAATCAAGACGACAACAGTATTTTTGTATTGGAATTAGTGTGAATTGCTGTTTTGGAATTTTGGCAACACAAAAATATAGGCAGGTAATATGATTTTGACATGCAATGGTAGATACTAGTACTTAAACAGCAACATATATACATAGGCGCTTGGATTTTAAACAAAATAACTCTAGATATAATCTTTTTGGAAAGAATTTTAACCCAATGTGTTAAAGGCCCTGACATTTCGAGAGACCTCGTATGTAATACTTAATGAAATCCCCATTCTGACAACACCACATGTCGATAGGCAATGGTGATGTGTGGTAAATCACACGGGGTGTTCTCTGAATGCCAACATTTTTTTTAACAATAGGTATGTGTTGTTTCAAGGAACAATGGGAAGGAAGTTGTATTCAGATTCTTTATTAGCCAGGAGCCTTACGGCTCATAGGCACAAAAGTAATACATTTACATATAAATATATAATAATATATAATACATGCATGTAGCTTACGCTCACACACACCACCTCACACACCATCCCTCACACACACACCACCTCACACCCTCACACACACACACACACACACACACACACGCTGACATATCGGGAGAGCTGAACACATAACATACATATATATATAGCTGTGTACATGATCCTAGCAAAAAGAGTTGGCATTACTAGAGATTTTCACGTTTTTTGGTAGCATAAAACAAATATTTTCCCAAATTACAAAGTTCCTTTACATTGTTTACACTCAAAAGTTTGATTAATTTGAAAACACTTGGACGTCTGTGGTAAAACCTTTTTATATATTTTCTCCTTAATTCCTCATAAAATGGGCATTTTAAAATAAAATGAAATTCATCTTCAATATCTCCTCCATTACATCTGATGCACACTCTATTTCTTCTTCCAATATTTCTACGACGCCCACTTTCTATATTAAGATTATGTGCAGATAGTCTAAACTTTGTAATTAAACGTGTGTATTTCGTTTCAATTGGCTTACATAAATAATATTGCAAATTAAAGTTATCAGTAAGATATTGGTACAACTATCCTTTAGAAGAGTCTTTAATTCTACTTAAAATTTCTTGTTTATTTACATCTAATAACCTCTGTTTTATTCTATTATACGCAGCACTAGCAGGAAGATCATTTTCAAATAAATACTCAAGACCTAATATTGACAACTCTTGTTTTATATTACTCATCCATACATCATTTTCACTCACACATTCTTCATAACATGCTTTCAAGATGCAATTATCGGAACTCTTTTATTTTCAACCAATATTTAAAAATTCTTAATTTTCTAGTTATTAATAAAGGTAATCTCCCTAGTTCATTATAAATTCATTGTAAATACCTAATCACTAGTAAGATTACTTTCAACTGCTCAAAATAAATAAGTTTGGATCATGGTTACTCACATATAATATTCACATAGAAACAAAAATCTTTATACATCTCTGATCTGATGTAGACTTTATTATCATGCACATAAAATTAAACATTTTGTGTATTAAAGACAGTAAAGACAGATACAAAAGTACAAACATAAAATAAAAGTGTAAATTTATCAAAGTATTGGACATTTTGTGTATTACTACATAAAATAAATACATGTAATAAAAAGAAAAAAAATATAGATGGATATAAAATTAAAGGTAGGTAAAGGCTATCAACTATACAATGTATATCAGACTATCAACTGATCATTTTACAGGTAAATTTACCTGTTGGCACTGAGACCCCATTTAAGAAAAAGATTATAATCACTATCAAAACAAAACTGCCCTGAGGGCCTTTCAAAATGTGGGCATTCAGAGATACACCCAATCACACAGACCGAGTTATAAGGTTTTTTACAGTACCGTGCGCAGATGTACACCATGATATCGACCCGTATTATACGTTGGCAAGGAGTTTTAATGTTATAAAGGAAAGCCGTAAACTCTGACACAACCTCGGTATTGATGAGCAGGCAAAATATCTTTATTGACAGTGGAGCCTTGTGTACATTTTATTGAAAATCCCGAGCATACAGATATCGAGATCCATGTGCCCATTAGATAAGACATGAACGTATAGGTAACTTACCTGTGGCCTTTGCGGTTGGTCTGGCGCTAGAACTCCGTGATCTAAAAGAAAAAAGGATACTTTTGTTACTATTTAAGAAAATATCCCCCTTTTTCTAAAGATTTTCTTCAATTTCATATAGTAACTGTCAAATAATACTATCCAGTTTTACATGTTAATCTTTTTATCCTCTCAAGTTTGAAACTTCACGTACCATGTTTAACAAATTAAACTAATCTTTAGCGTTTACATTTCAAAAACTGTGAGCACTTGGCTAAATAACACACATTGTTGACAACATACCTGATATACCTTGCGTAGATGATTTACGAGGCGGGGGCATCGGCCTTCTCTCTGCCTCTGTAATAATTAAGTTACAATTTTGTTTACTTACTTCACCGTCTTGATAATGAAAATGGTCCAAATAACAAGACAATTATGGTCTGCTTGAAACAAAGTCATAATGCGACGCTTAAAAATACAAGGATAACAAAACCAGGTGTTCCTGAAGAAAAAACGTTTTCTGCTTTCTATACGACACCCACTATGCAAATATCGGTCATGAAATGTTCTTTTCTCAATTGGGGAAAAGTTCAACAACAACTTTGTTTCCTACTTACTACCTTTGTATCTGCCCCTTCCTCTATGTCGCCACATATGGTTTTACCATACGTTCCTTGATGCCCTTTATTCATTGTAAAATGTTTCCCTCCACCCATCGCTTTCTAGAGATTGCGAGGAAACTTGATTACTAGTTAGTAACCTCAAACATTTCCCCCATTCGAAATGGTTTATTGAGATGTCTATTCTGAATCAAATTCCTATTAAATGAATAACTCTGTACTAGAAACTGATCATTGACCATAAAAAGATGAACCAAATGCAGTTTTGACGATGCATAACATAGACACTGAAAGATCCAAGTTGCTTTTCATCTTTTGTTAATTTTGTTTTCAACTGGAATATAGATATTGTGAAATGGGTGTATTGAATTTGAGTATGCATTTACTTTAATTTATTATGATATACAAGACAGTTAAGTCAGTGTGACTGTATGTTTACTATAGACAGGAGAGTTACGTCAGTGTGACTGTATGTTTACTATAGACAGGAGAGTTACGTCAGTGTGACTGTATGTTTACTATAGACAGGAGAGTTACGTCAGTGTGACTGTATGTTTACTATAGACAGGAGAGTTACGTCAGTGTGACTGTATGTTTACTATAGACAGGAGAGTTACGTCAGTGTGACTGGTGTTTACTATAGACAGGAGAGTTTCGTCAGTGTGACTGTATGTTTACTATAGACAGGAGAGTTATGTCAGTGTGACTGGTGTTTACTATAGACAGGAGATTTACGTCAGTGTGACTATGTTTACTATAGACAGGAGAGTTACGACAGTGTGACTGTATGTTTACTATAGACAGGAGAGTTACGTCAGTATGACTGGTGTTTACTATAGACAGGAGAGTTACGTCAGTATGACTGGTGTTTACTATAGACAGGAGAGTTACGTCAGTGTGACTGTATGTTTACTATAGACAGGAGAGTTACGTCAGTATGACTGGTGTTTACTATAGGAGAGTTACGTCAGTGTGACTGTATGTTTACTATAGACAGGAGAGTTAGGTCAGTGTGACTATGTTTACTATAGACAGGAGAGTAACGTCAGTGTGACTGGTGTTTACTATAGACAGGAGAGTTACGTCAGTATGACTGTATGTTTACTATAGACAGGAGAGTTACGTCAGTATGACTGGTGTTTACTATAGACAGGAGAGTTACGTCAGTGTGACTGGTGTTTACTATAGACAGGAGAGTTACGTCAGTGTGACTGTATGTTTACTATAGACAGGAGAGTTACGTCAGTGTGACTGTATGTTTACTATAGACAGGAGTGTGAGTATGTTTACTAGGTCAGTGTGACTAGACAGGAGAGTTACGTCAGTGTGACTGTATGTTTACTATAGACAGGAGAGTTACGTCAGTGTGACTGGTGTTTACTATAGACAGGAGAGTTACGTCAGTGTGACTGTATGTTTACTATAGACAGGAGAGTTACGTCAGTATGACTGTATGTTTACTATAGACAGGAGAGTTACGTCAGTATGACTGGTGTTTACTATAGACAGGAGAGTTACGTCAGTATGACTGGTGTTTACTATAGACAGGAGAGTTACGTCAGTGTGACTGGTGTTTACTATAGACAGGAGAGTTACGTCAGTGAGTTACCTGTGATTGTGAGAGTGTGTGTGTTCAGTGTAGATAAATATGCGTTTATTGTCTGCTCTAGCTGATAAAATTGCTTGTCGGCTAAATTAATGGCATATGGCATTGTACTTTTGACATGAACTTTTTATCTGCATGTTGGCTGATGGAAAACATTTGTATTTAGAATATGTACTTTAGATACCCATTGTCATAAAATATTTCTTACTTATAAACTCCTAAAATAATTGGTGATGTTGAGAAATATTGGTACACATTTGTCTGCGGGTTTAGAAGTAGAAACCTATATCTAATTAAAAAAATATCATAGACAGTCCTACCATTCGACTTGGTGTTTGTTCCACCTCTCCTGGGTAAGGGGGGAGGCTGTGATTTGCCCTCAAGAGATGTTTGAATAACAAGATTCTGTGGCGTGAATTCGAGGTAAGAGTTGTCCGGAAGTGGAGGCTTATTTTCCATGTGTATCGAAGAGATTTTCCTTCCTTCTTCTTCAGGTTTTGTCAAACATATTCTGACATATATGTTATTAGCTGTGTCCTTATTGATAAGGATTTTGTCATCTTCGTTTAAAATTTCACGTTTTTGAACCGTACTTTTATAGCAATAACCGACGAAAACTTTTTCTTCAATGGATTCCAGTTGAAAGATATCCCCATTCGAAAAAGTGTCTGATTCCTGTGACTCACAGCTCCCTCCCTCCACTTTGACGAGGATCGGAACGCCGTGAGATGAGACAGCTTTAATTAAGGCAATCACTTCCTCTGACCAAGTGAGATCGTCATCCCCGGTCGCCATTTTCTTTTTTGACTTTAGGGTATAGTTACAGAGAGCAGCGAAATACTGCAGTTGTCCCTACATGCCAAAACCATATGGAACGCGGAAGTTTTTTTCCAGGTCGCAGATATTTGTTGGATTTTTTATCAGTGTTTATATCAGCTCTCCCCCTATCATATGTTTTAGGGTGTTTAATCTCTGACATGCGCGTCCGAATGGGATAATGTGCGTTAAGTATCGAAGCATACCATCGAATGCAGGACACACTGCGAGTTCTCGACGTCTTTATTATCTTTTAACCTTAAAAGTTCGTGTAGATAAATAAACTTTGAACTTGTTTGTTGATATGTGCTTGTTTTCGTTGAATCGTACAATAATTTCTTATTTGAAATGTCCTCATAAAGCATCAGTAACAGAAATTGCAATGCTAGGAAACAATCCTGTGACCTCTTGTTGAAGGTATGAGGCAACATTAGCAGCTTACCCTCCCTTTGTCGCCAGGTGATCGTAAGGATCTATAACATGTACTAAATGCATTCTTTGGTCAGACACTTACAGTGCTGGTTTTATAATGATTAAAAGAGATTGTACGGAAAATAATAAAAACATATCATCCTGTTCAAGATGAAACAAATGAAGGAAGATATATACATTTAAACTTGATCTGGAAATTTCTATTGTGCAAGACCACACTTAACTTAGTTTAAACATTACAAATATCATGATGTTTTGGGGGGAAAATATAAAAAAAAACCTTAATATCTCAGCACTAAAGTTAAATCGACTTTATCAACAATAGCAAATGGACGGACAAATAATACAAATCCCATGTACTTCGAAATGGAAAAGAAATCACTGAACTGACGTTAAAAAGGTAACACATACGTACTTACGAAAGTACTGTTATCTGGGTATGTTGTAATGCACAAATCTGACTGGATTATATGTGTCCTTTTAGATATTTATTGAGTTGGAGAGAGTAGTGTTAAATAGGATATTTTAGAGTGAATCATATGTTATTTATAGATATATCCTGCTAGTGTAATAAGCGACTTCCTTTAAAATACACACAGGTATGTGTCGGACAAATTGTTATCAACATTATCAGAAGTACACACTATACATGTATAATGTGAACAATCGGGCTAGGGTGATGTAATACTTTTGATGTAACTGGAACTTCCAAACAATTAACACGTCCTCATCCTGGTCAGATTGTGTGTGATAAGCGATACACGTGTGTATATATCTCTTGTGATGTATGGCAGACGTACTTAACATTTGATACAAAAGCAAGTGTTACTAAGTACGAGCTCTATCTTGAAATCAACTAAACTTGGATGAAATTCTTAATTACATTAGCGAGATTTGCCTCTTTAACAAAATTGAACCATATATGTGATTTACAATTATTCTTTTTCTATAGTTTGATTTATCCAGCAATATACACGTTTTTAACACACTACTGTTTTAAATTTCCCTATTTTATCATTTGTTTTTACTCTTAAAACTTTTTTAAACTACGTTTTATAACAGATAAGTATTTGATATGATAGTTTGGCCTAAAATGGCCCTGGATGTAGACGGGCCGTATAACAAAATAAAAATAAAATTCTATCTTTAATCCTAAAATGACAGTACATTTTACTGTTCTGTCAATATCATAAACATCCTGAAGTAATATTTTAACTTATAATTCATGTAAATTTACGTGCTTAAAGAAGAAACAATAAGCTTTTTTGATCACACATGTGCTGAACACCAAGCATACTGCTAGACTGTGTTATTGAAAAAAACGACTGATATTTAGAAGCAAAACAACTAATGATGTAAAAATACTTGTATTGCTGCCGTCTGTGCACATATCAAAATACTTAAAACCCCTTATGGATCAATTTAAAATGTACCAAACCACCATATTAATTGCCCATTTACCCTTTCACATGTGAACATTATGTGGGTGGTTGATTTCGACATCTTCTCAATACAAATTTACATTTGTCAGCTGTGATGATGTGAGTTATAGTATATCGCTGAAGTGGTTTACAGGAAACTGCTATGTAAACGACAGAAATATGAGTAAAGATCTCATTACATACTTATATTGTGGAAAATACCACAATAATATTATGATGGAAAGTAGTTGCTGTCAAACGTATAACAACCTAATCGGTCATCCCTAACTCAAGTTTTCATCTGGAAATCAAGAATCTATTTTTTTAGTGAAATTTTTTAAATTGAGTAAATTATCATGTAATTATTGTGATATATCATTTGAACCATATTTCAGATTTGTGAAAATAATCGTAAAATCATTGTCATATTATTATCATCATCTTATTATTTTTTAATTTGAGAATATAGTGAATGCTCCTATAATTGCCATACGAATTGTCATTTATAAGTTCAACTTGTTCTTATTTGAACTTTGTTTTTCATACGTGTCATAATTGTACATCATTATTACAAATATAGATAGAATACAGAAAAAAGTATAACAGTACTTATGTAAATCTGTCTCCTAATATAGAGTGACAAGCAGGTGACAACATAATACTTGTAGCTAAGCATTGATAACATAATTGATGTAATGAACGAGAGAGAGAGAGAGAGAGAGAGAGAGAGAGAGAGAGAGAGAGAGAGAGAGAGAGAGAGAGAGAGAGAGGGTTGGGGAGAGGAGTGTTCAGACTTTGTAATTACATGTACCCAACCGAAATACAGTTACACGTATATATGTGGGAAGCAATCAAATTACAGACGAGGACAACGAATAATAAATAATTTATTCTACAGCCGTCTGAGTCTGAATGGTAGTATCGTTAATTTCCCAAGCGTTTAGTTTTGTTAATGTATTGCTGCACAATGCTACAAATTCTTTGGTTCTCTTCAATAGTTAAGTTTTGATCTCCGTATAGTAGTTGGTCAAGAGTGTAATTTACAGGAAGATTTGCAAAGCATTCATTCCTTACATCGGTGTTCGGTTGTTTCGTGTCCTTGTCGACACAAACAATAGGGATCTTCAACCAGATTACGTCGAAATAGAGGAGCGTTTAAGGAACTAGAGTTCATTCGTAGTCTGGCGTGATGAACCAGATCGGTGCGTTTTCCATAACTATGATAAGGAGGGACGGTAGGGGAGTGTCTGTACAGGTAGCGTTTTAGGTTACCTATAGAGGGATTATTTTTAATTTCGCGGGGTAACGAGTTCCAGAGGTCAATAGAAGAAGGAAGAAAGGATCGTTTGTAAACGTTGGTCTTGCAGAATATGCCGCTTAATTTATCAGCATCACGCGTATTGTATTGGTGAGTATCATACCTGCGATGTGGGAGTAGATTAGAGAGGTATGGAGGAGTGAGGCCAAAAAACATTTTATGTATCTGTACAATTTTCTTTCCGTTACGACGGAATTGTAAAGTGACCCAGCCAGTCTCCTCATAAAGTTTGACATGACTAGTTGATTTGGTTCCCCCTGTTACGATCCTAGCTGCTTCGAGCTGAATATTCTCCAGTGACTGAGACTGTAAGGCAGTAAGATTATCCCACACAATATCATCATATTCAAGAATGGGTCTAACGAAAGAAAAATATAAGGTTTGGAGGGAATTTCTGTCAACTTTGAATTTGACTTTCCTAAGGTTGGCTAGTTTACTAGACGCTTTCTTTATAATATAATTGATATGTTCCGTCCAAGTGCCATCATGAGAAAGGACAACGTCGATGTGTTTGTGATGTTGAACCTCATTAACAGGAATAGCATTCATCTATAAAGGGGGATGGTTAGGTTTATTAACTTTCTTACTAATAACAAGTGATTCAATTTTATCGGGATTAAATTTTAGCAACCATTGCTCCGACCATGCATAAATTTTCCTTAGATTTTCATTTAAAAAGTTTGCGCACTGTGACGGAGTATCAATTATAGTATAGAGAGACGTGTCATCTGCAAAAAGTTTAATTACAGCACTGATATCATCTACAATATCATTAATAAAAATCAGAAAGAGCAGGTGTCCTAAAATTGACCCTTGGGGAACACCAGCTTTTACAACCTTCCACTCGGATGTTTGTAGAACTTATAACCACTCTTTGTAACCTATTATTCAAATAACTATGGAACCATGACAGTAAACTGACCCCAATACCAAGTTTCTTCAATTTATAGGTATGTCCTGAATGCCATACTCTGTCGAAGGCTTTGCTGATGTCACAGAAAACCATCTGGAATTCCTTACCTTTATCAAGAGCAGAAAAGATATCATTACTAATGGCAATTAATTGATTAATTGTAGAGTCACCCGTTCTGAAACCAGATTGGGACGGAGATAACAGAGAGTTTACAGTTATGAATTGATACATATATTTGTGTACACACCTTTCCATTACCTTTCCTTTGAGGAAGGACGCATTTCCTTTCTTGAACACAGGAACAACATTAGCGAGTTTCCGCTTATCGGGAAAAGTGGAAGAAATTAAAGACTTGTTAAAGATTGTTTCAAGAGGATAACTCAAAATATCGGCAGCTTCTTTAAGGAGTATGGGGTTAATGTGGTCAGGACCAACAGCTTTAGAACAATCTAGGCAAGAAAAAACAAAGATAATGTCATTCCTATCGATATGTTTATTAGTAGTATATTAAGTAGAGGTTCAACATGAACAGTGGGCGGAAGTTCCGCATTAGTATCGTCAACAAAGGAGTTTAAACAGAAAAAGTCATTAAATGCATTAGCTTTATCATTATCATCAGTAGAATTACGAACATGGATTGCTGGTATGATAAACGTTTTAGAACTGTCGAATGATAATTTATCTACCGTTTTCCACCAGGACCTACCATGAGTGTCAGTACCCAGTTTTCCACCGAGTTTACGAACATATTTTGATTTTGCAGTACGGATTACATTTACAATTTTATTTCTTATTTTTTTGTACTTACCCCAATTAGCTACAGATCCTGACCTTTTAGCTATTCTAAATAGTCGCTTCCTTTTCCGAATTAATTTACATATTTCACTGTTCATCC